AGTGTCATGACGCCTTTTTCACATCATTGATGAACAACCACATGGTTATCAATTGCAACCTAGAGAAACCTAGTCTAACTTCCCCTCATTCCCTAAATTCAAGGTATATTCCGTCTCCTATCTTGTGGAAATCTTCAAAGCCGCCATGACGCATATGCCATTATGGCAAACAGCCAACGTCAAGTGGCCAAAGCACAGTTGTGCTGTTACAAAATAATACTAATGGGTAAGGCCATATTTGAATAATGCAATTAATATTAACCATTGATTTCAGCAGTTTGACAAGTTTTGTGAAATCTGCAAATCAGAGGTGAGATTGTCATTTTGTGTACTTATGCAATCCCTCCATGCTCGTCAACTAATGCGCCATTGAGAACATTCCCGGCAAATAAAACGTGCAAAACAACACTGTTTTTAAGCAGAGCCCAATATTTACTACGCTTTTCCTTTTTAAACAAATAAAACCTCCCCAGCCATAAACTTAGCTTTAGTAAACTGGCGAATAACCCAATACGACGGGAATTTACAGCAGTCGCTTAAGGGATTGTTCAGCACAACAAATGAACGCGATTTAGTTGTCTTTACAAAACAGAAAGCTTTGTGGACATCTTTATTTTACCTCAGACGCTTAATAACGTATAAATAAACAAGCGCATGAAAAGCAAAAGAATAATTTTCTAAATACACTAATTTACATATTTGTCTTCTGTAAATGACTAACTATTGTATGCATTGCCAATTTAACACATAGTTAGAAGTCCAAAATCAGGTAAATTAAGATTTCTAAAAAGTGATTTTATTATAGTTCACATGATATTATTACTAACTTACCCGTCTCGCAGTGGGTTCCATTTATAGCATTTATCTTCATGTAAATAGCCTTCGATTGGTTCACATGGACAAGGGGTTCAACATTCAGTCCATGCTAGTGTTCAGCATGTTCAAATTTCAACTTCTCTTCTAATCATCATTTTGCTGGTAGGAAACGGCTTCCACGCTTTCCAGCATAGCGGTTTTTTTGCCACGTCACAGAATGTGACATGTGTTTCTTAGCAGCTTATTATATCTGAAAAAAATTGTTTTTATTTACAACAATAAAGTCGATGAAGGGCGATTCGTTTTAAGTTTTGAGCGTGGGTTGTACAGATTTGAACAACTAGCCTTAACTGGACTGGTTACTTGAACAATGCTATGCAGGTGCCGTGATTAAGCCGCCACCGCCACCG